CCTTTGCTTCTGAATATAGTTCTTACTGTTACTATTATCAATCTTATGAACTCCAGGGCAAAAGCAATTCTCTTGCCTTAGCCACTGGAGTAGCTAGGACTATAGGCCCAGTACACACCACTAGGCTATTAACCGTATTTTTTTTTTTAAAAGAGAGATTGAGAGAGGAGAGAGGAGAATTTTTAATATTTATTTTTTAGTTCTCGGCGGACACAACATCTTTGTTTGTATGTGGTGCTGAGGATCGAACCCGGGCCGCACGCATGCCAGGCGAGCGCGCTACCGCTTGAGCCACATCCCCAGCCCCTATTAACTGTAATTTGAAGTAAATGATCTCTAAAGGAGAGGGATTTGTAGAGGTATTTTAAGCAAGTTACAAGACTATTCCAATAATAAAGACTCTCCAGTTGTAAATTATTTGTTTTTAAATGTTATCCATATTTCATGGTAAAAAGATGCTACAACTCCTCCATATTGCTGTAGGTTTATTATTGCAGCTAGATCAGTAGTTGTTATTAGTATATAGTTTTAAATTGAAAATAAATTTCTTCAACTAACTTAGTCCATCATCACTTCCCATACACATACTATATAATTGTGTGATTTACTTTACATACATCTCATTTCTGATGATTGAACAAGTACTTTACAAGGCCCGGTACAAGTATCAAGCCTTCTTGACAGCTTCTCTACTTCACATTCCTTAAAACATTGTTATTAGTGTTTTTCTTAATTGGTGACATTTTTTATTTTTCTTCTAGACTTAATTTCTGTGATGGGAAAATGTGGTAGTTTCCCAGTCATCCATAGCTAAATGTGCTTAGCAGAAATATTTGTGCACAGAATTTGGTCAATGAATCTTCTTGAATTGCTTAACATTATACATGAAACACATAATTGTTGATTGACTTTCTTTCATACACAGTTATGTGGTTAAGGGATAGGAACATTATAGAACAGAAGATATTTCACCAGCTGTTTTCTGAATCTTCAGGGTAAATTGCCTGAGGCATTGACTAAGGAGCTGGGCTGTGATTCTTCTATATAAGGGACAATTTATGATATTTTTCAGACAAAGAACAGAATCATATGCTATTTGTAGCATAATTCGAAAAAACCTATATAGATTCTTGCTTTTATTCCTGTATGCATAAACCATTATAGTAGTAAAAATTTATTCCTTGAAGTGCATTTTTCTTCAACATGTTACATAAGAAAACAGAGCCAATAAACATTAAAAAGAATTTCTCTCATCCTTCAAAAAATAACAAAAGAAAAACCCAGAAATTCAGTGCCAAAATGTTTCATAGGCTTTGAAGTAAATCAAGTCTCTTATTTTTGATTATCATAACTTCTGAAATTTACATTCAGTTTTTGACATGATGTGCCATAATTTATTCAAAGAGCAAGCCTATTTTTATATCAAATTGTAAAGAAGAAAAATTAAATGTTATAGTATGAAGATAATTTAAGTGAAATATTTCTGGCAGTTTTTCTGCTTTTATAATTTATTCTGCATGTTCTTCATAATCATCACTTATCTCCATTTCAAAGAAAGCTGAACACTGATGTTTTGTTCCTTATTTTATTAATATGAGAACTAAAACCAAAAAAACACAGAACTGCTTAATAAAACAGCAATGTCTGAGAAAAATGTGAATGCTTTAAAAATTTTACTACTTTGAAATTCATATATCTTATGTGTATGGAGCTTTCTCACTTTTTTAATTTAAAGAATTATCTTCATAAAAATTTTCCTCTAAAAATGTCCCATTCCTGACATATTCTGGTAATGAATGCTTCCATTTGTATTTTAATAATAAATATTATTGCTCTGCTGATTTTGCCTTTATAAAGCTCATTTGCTAAAAGAGCTAAGAGAGGTAAAAATATCTGTGACTTTCTACAGTAGTCAAAGAAAATACTAGAATGTTATATAATAACATTGCATTAATCAAGTTTTATTCTAGTAATCAACAAGAACTCTCAAACATTGCTGATAAGAATTCAAATAGGTACAACTACTTTGGAAAACTGGTAGTATCTACTAAAGCTAAACACATTCATGCTCCTTCTATGACCCAGCAATCCCTCTCATAGAGAAAGTCTTGGATGCAACATACACATTACCAAAATTGTGTGTGTGTGTGTGTGTGTGTGTGTGTGTGGGGTGTGTGTGTGTGTGTGTGTGTGTGTATATATATATATATCCTCAAACATTTGAGAAACCCAAATGTTCAACAGGGTAATGGAGAAATTAATTGTGGTATAGTCATACAATGGAATAGCATGCAGTAATAACTTCCTGCTACATGTGACAACATGGATACATTATATAAACATAATGCTCAGAAAAATAAAGCAGACTCAAATGACATTTTATATAAAGTTAAAAAGAAGTAAATAAGTTTACTGTGTAAGTCCAAAGAGTGATTACTTTGGGATAAGATAATTCCTGGTAAAGGATATGATGGTGAGAAAGGTTGGGGTGATAACGACACTTCTACTTTTTGATCCAAGATCTCTCTACCTGGGCATGTCTCCTCTGTGAAACTTTTTCTAGATGGAAACTTTATTTGTGTACTTTTTATATGTATATCTCACCTAAAAAATTAAAAACCTATGAAAAAAATTGTACCAGCAAATCATTTACTTATAAATGTTGATGGCTTTGATTGGTTTTCAATCCTCCAAATTGACCTAGAATTTTTTTAAAATTATACTTAGGAGGAGTAAGTCCTAATGTTATTTAGCACAGTAGGGTGCTCACAGTTAACAATATAATATATTTCAAAGTAACTTGAAGACAGGATTCTGAATATTCTAAACACAAGGAAATGATAAATGTTTGAGGTAATGCTTATTCTAAATATGACTTGATCATTACACGGTGTATACATTTTCTCAAATATGACACTGTACCCCATAAATAAGAATACTTCTTGCATGCCAAGAGCTAAATAAAACTTAAAAAATAAATTAAAAGACAAGTAAGTAGGGGCATTTAATATGAAATACTTATTTATCTTAATTTTCCCTTTGTTTCCTATTGCTTAATACATCACAAACAGATTTGATCAACAAAGACTAGTTTCCATAAAGACATTAATTTACAAATAATTTCCAGTAGAGGGAGCTTCCCTTTCTTTACTATAGGAAATCCTCTTTCAGGAACCATCAATGAATGTGAAAACATTTAATTTTCACACATGATTATTCTTCATAGAATTATGAGTTACTCTCACCTAAGAATAGTCCAGTATACAGATAAACCTTAATCTTATTTGAATTATTAGAGAAGAAAGTAAATTTAATGAAGAATATAATTATTACATAAAATTCTGTATTATCTTTTTCCATAGATTACATTTTTGATTATTCATAAAAAGCACTTTAACTAAAATTATTCAATATAAATAAAGACAAATTATTATTATCAATTTGAAATATATTTTTGTAAATTTCAACTAAACTAGTATTAAATCAAAGGATCTAGTGATGAGTATTATGTATTTAGAAAATAGCAAATGATAGCAAATGTCACGGTGAATTGCCACTGTACATATCTGACCTTATTAACCAAAATATCTTACTGATCTTAAGTATCTATCATAATAAAATAATCTGAATTCATTGGGAAAAAGCACATTATTAAACATTAAAAAGAAATTATAGTAAAGTGAATAATTTCTTTCAAAACATGAACTTAGTACTCTTTTACATGAAATTTTCATAAATTTATAAAGCTCCACACATTTTGTTTTACTCAATACATATAAAATTTCTGGCAATTGTAAAGTTATCAGAATTTAGCATATCAAAACTTTTTTACTTAAAATACATTAATTCACAATAGTTCAAAACCTTAATTTAAAAAATCAATAACTTGGGAAATATAATAACATTCTCAAACAGTTCCTATTTTATAGATAATAAAATAATCTGAATTTCTGTAAGGTAGTTTATGAGATACATTTGATATTTTTTTAAGGCAGCCCAAAGATTGAAAAAAAAAAACTGACATACTAACACAGAAAAGAATACTTCCATACTTCAAATAGAAATCAGCATATGCATAACTTACTCAAATTATTTAACTCCAACCCTCTTGAAGAGCTTGCCACCAATAAAAAATGGAAATCTTATGATAATTATATGGTAATGGTAAAATAACATTTTGTATTGATGGTTCAGAAATCTGTATGAGCCGTATCTTGCCTTTATGTATTATTTGATTAAGAATAGGGATTAAATTAGCTGATCTTTTGGCTAGACTCTGATATCCTCTTTAAATTAATTTTTTAAAAAGCCTATTGAATATTATTGGAACATAATTTTAAAATGATATGTCATAGAGCAATTTTATAATTTAATAGGTTGGTTAAATACTTTCTTCAAAATAATTCTTGATATCAAACATATCTAATGAATTATTTATGATTTTGCCTTCATGTAGTAACTGAACTAGGTCATTAGAAAATAGTACCTGCAAGATCCTTAGTTTTCATTAATTTGACTTAATCTTAGAATATATCAGCAATGTTCAGAGTTTCTTTGATCTGCAAATACTTGTGTTCTATATTTCTGCCTTTTAAAAAGTTAGTAATGTCCCATTTCTAATTACAAGATGTTTCATAACTTTTAAAAAGAAAAAACTCATAATATATGTCACTTTAAAAAGGAAATTGTAAAACTATATGTGAGAAGGAAAATCTAGGCTTTTGGAATAATTTTTTTTTCTAAAGTAATCTCAGCTGCAAATAACTTAAGGTGCTATTTACAAATACACAAATCAGTGAAAATAAGGAACATCACCTGTTTTCACAGGTCCCAATAGATGACTGCTAGGCAGTTTTACATAGAAAACAATATGAGTTAAGGGATGATTTCAGTAAGTCACTATAGAATGCAAATTTCTTTTAACTTCATCAATAACAAGTGGTTGCAAGATAATGCACAGACTTAATGATTCCTCTGAGTGTAAATACAAGTAGACTTACCTGAGTAATAGTGCTGCTTCCCAGAAATAAAATCCAGAAACTAATGTCCGAAAGTGTCTCACGTGTGCCATGATACGGAGAGATATATTCACGATCCTGATAACAGACTTACCCAAGGCATAGGGAACCAGAAAGAGAACAGAAAACGTGCAATCTAAGCCCTTGTGGCGCTGGTGGAGACAAACGCTAGGGAAGCTTCAGCACCTTAGACAGTTCCTTGCAGTACTCAGACCCTTTCGTCAAAACACTTGCAATTCCTGTTTGACCCCTTCCTCTGGGCAATGAGCAGAAAGTAGAGTCACAGGGTTACAAATGTATAAGTGATTTATACAGTGAAACCAGAGAAAGGAGTGAGACGAAGTGTCCGAAGTGCCTAGATTCTGAGCAACAGTTCACTGAAGCTCAAACAGCAACGGAAGGAAGCTTGTCCTTTCTTGGATCAGACCCACGATAAGAGGAAGAACTGCAGCAACTGCCAAAACAAGGATGCTTCTCCACCTGCTCCTATTGCAGCCCTCCGGAATCACGTTCTCAACCTTTGGGAAAAACCCCAGCAAGCGCGGCAAAGGGAAGTGGGGGCGGAGCTATATGCCCTCTCGTCAGCCAATCACAACTGCACAGCGGATCTGAGTGACAGGCCACTTAAAACAGTAGGAGGTGCCTGGCATTTAACCCTAAAAAAAAGGGAAAGAAGATTTAAAAAAAAAAAAAAGAACTGGTGCGAAACCCAAAGGCAGTGAATGGAGGGAGTTGGAGGAAGAATCCTCAGAGATGCGAACTGGGTGGAAGTCAGCTTTTTTCTGGGTTAGGTAGAATAAACACGCGGGAGGGATCCTTAATATTCTTTTCAGGAAAATGCACGGTTTAGTAAAGACAGGTCTTTTTGGTTGTCACTGTCATTGAGACCTTACACCAAAATATACAAGTCAATAGTAAAGACAGGCCCTGGAAAAGGAATAGCTAACTAGGGAAGCTAACACAATGTGATGCAGGAGCGCAGGCAGAACGGAAGAATCAGCTGCTTCTAGAATCCTCTCAAGCCTGGCCAGCTTCTGGATGGTAAACATTGTTGACTGGTGTAAGTTTAGTTTCTTTCAGTAATAATGATGGTTTCCCAAAGATGAAGACAACTGCTAGAGATACAAAGATACCTAATATTTGGCTTTCTTTACCCGTTTTACTTGTCTTAATAAATTTAAGGGAGGAGGATAACTAGGTCATATGGTATCATTGCTACATCTTTTATCGTTTCAGTTGATGGTTAGTCTCTATCCCTTTTCCTCTCCCTTTTCTCCTCTCTCTCTTTCCCTCCCATGACCATCTACACTAGTTCCTGTACTGGAAGACGGAAAAGGAGAGAGAACTTCATATATTTCAAAGTAATAAAATTTAAGAATTTGAACCATATGCTCTTAAGTATTTCTAGTGGTTTTTATTTACTGTAGGCCAGGAAAATTATCACTCCTTGAACTTTAGCTTTTCCCAAAAACTCCTTCGGATTTTATTCTGAAAGTGCTGCTTTTCTCTCTTAACTTTTCCAGTGATTAGGTTAAATGTCAAGAATATTTTCTTAATCTTTCCCACAACGTTTTTTCTTAAATTTGAAGGCTGATTGACATATTAAGTATTCCTGAAATTCTGTATTTAACTGTAAGAATATCAGTCACAACCTTTGAACCCTCTCAAATAAGAGGTCAGAATAAAAAAAAAAAAAACCTCTTTCTCTCTACTCTTTGGTAGATAAGCTTATTTATAGTCAGTGAAAATAAAGAGTTTTTTGGATTTATTTATGTTCTTCATATATCTGATTCTTTTTACATTTGGTTTTCTGACTTAAATCATAAACTTCCAGAAGTATCATCAGAAATACCATTGATTCTACCCAGAAATATTTACACCTTCAGAGGGTTCATACCATTTTAACTAACATAGTTTTTCAGTGAATCCTTTGAAAGCTTAGTAGGCCCAAAGCTGTTTAGTTGGTTATTCTTTGGATAGCAGTAATAATTATTTTAAACTCATAATAAAAAATGAGTTATAAATAGTTAACAAAAGTTCATTTTGAGTTTTTGCACAAAATAATATCATCTACTATGGTGTGATTTTTACTGTAACTTCTGTTAAGGAGGAAATATTCAAGTTGTCTATTGAAGACAGTAAAAAAGACTCTATTCAACACTCATTGAGACTGCAGCATAAAGGAAAAACAGAAGGTGTAAAATGCTGATATGAACGGAGACATTATTTTAAAAGAAAAAGAGTAACAGTGTATAACAGACATAAACTAATGAATATCTGGAAGGAAAAAAGGAAAAGAAAGTATATCAGCTAAATGCTAATAAGAACAACAAATTTTACTATAGCCATACTAATATTAGGAAAAATAATAGTAATGATGAATTTACACACAAAAACGTATTTATATAATGAATAAAATTTCACGAAAAAGATACGAAATTCCCAAATTTGCAGGCTTCAATAATATAACATTAAAAATGTAAACAAACAAAAATTAAATCCAGTGCTATAGCAGGACATTTTCATATACAATTCCAAAACTGATATACAATTCCAAAACAATTTCATATACAATTTCCAAAAAAATTAGGAAACAAATTTTGACAAAAAATATATAATTAACAAATTTGAGTGAATAGCTATAAAAAGTTGCCTAAGGTTTGTTGCAAACCACATTGGACATCTGTAAAAATTGAACCCATTATAGGATTGTAAACAAGTTTCAACTAATTTTAAAAAGTACTGTCTTGAGAATGCATTTGTAACTGAAATTGAATAAAGTTGAATGAAGAAATTCTATATTGCAAATCACAAAATATTTATAATTTAAAGATAATAAGAATAGTACAAACTAAATGCAGCTTCAACTGTGATTAATTAGAAAAAAGTATTCCTAAATGGTCATACAATAAAGGCTGAAGATTAATGACACCAATATACAACTTAAGATGTTAGAATGAACAACTGAATAAATCTCATAAATATAGGAGGAAGAAGATAAACAAAATAGCTTAAATAATTAACAAGGAGGAAAACAAAGATAAAATAAACATTATGACACCTAAGTGTTCTTTTGAATAAATTTTAAATTTAATAAATTTGTCATAAAAATAAACAAGAAAAGAAGAGCAACAAACAAAGACTATTTAGTACTGAAGTATGAGTAATAATACTATTGTCAAATTATAGGTAATCAGGATATGTCCTTAAAGATCAAGAAGAAAAAGTCTGAGAACCTGGTAAAAGACAAATATGGAAACATTTTGTGAACATGAATCAAAATGAAATAATTTATTTGTATAATTAAAAATGGTCAACATTATTTGCAAATAAAGAATACAAATTAAATCATGACCTAACAGATTGTGAATAGTTAAGGGCTGGGGATGTGGCTTAGTGGTTAAGCGCCCCTGGGTTCAATCTCCAGTACCAAAAAACAAACCAAAATAAAAAACTTACTAATTCCTTCAATGTATTCTTTGCATTCTTTAAGTTGAAAAATATACTACAGAATTTATACTCTTTCCACATTAGAATTATCTTCAAGATATGGTTCTTTTTTACCCTTATACTAATAATTTTAAATGTACAGGTAATATTATTTGAAGATGCTTTAAAAATTTATCTTAAAATTATGATATGTAATTCTTATGAATTGCTTTGGGATTGCATATTTTTAATGTTTTTGCTTTTAGATAAAATACTTAATACATTTTCAATGCAAAATATTTTCTATAGTAAGTTTATTGTAGTAAAAACTTTAGGAGCTAGGGCCTAGTAGGAGAAAGTGAGTCATGGAGGGCTTGTCCTAGAATGGTATATTTTATTCACAGCCCCTTTTTTGCTCTCCCTTTCAGCTTCCTAGCTTCTTTAAAATTGGCCGCTTTCCTCAAACCATGATGTACTACCTCATGATAGACCCAGAAACAATAGGGTCAGAAGATGGATCATGGACTGAAACCTTTGAAACTGAGCCAAACTAATTACTCTTTCCTCCTTTTAGTTGTTTTTCTCAGGTCTTTTGTAACACTGATGGAAAGCAGACTAGGACAATTTCTTAAAATTGAGAAACTTTATTTCAACACTCCTACCCATCTACTTACCAAGCAGTTATATGTAGCCCTTTTCTATATAATTTGTTATTGAAACATTGTTTGTCAATCTTATCAATTACAGAATTTGTCAGAAATACTGTAAATTTCAAGTTACATTCTGAGTTTGTTCAACTAGACTGGAAATAGGTGTTTTTCTTTCTTTCTTTTTTTTTTTTTTGTAGTTTTTTGTAATGCTGGGGATTGAACTCAGGATCAACTGGGTTATATTCCTTGCCCTGTTTTTTTCTTTTTTGTACTGAGAATTGAATCCAAGGGTGCTTTACCTCTGACTACATACCAAGTCCAGTTTTTATTTTTTATTTTGAGAACAGGGTCTTACTAATTTTCTGAGGACCTCAACTAAGTTGCTGTGGCTGGGTTAGAACTTTCAATCCTTTCGCCTCAAACTCCCAAATCACTGGGATTACAGGCATGTGCTACAAACCCAGCCTGGAAATACATTTTAAAAATATTTTAGAAATTCATTTTTTAAAAATCTAGTTTTGGTCTATATCACAATCTTAAAACTTACTGGAGTGCTTCATAAAGAATATAGGATAAATAAATCAAGCGAAAAAACATATAATGGATATTGCTTTTCTAAATTGTAACTTATATCCAAAATGATTGATTTGTCTTCATGTAATAATGACAGAACTAATAAATGATCCATATAAGAATTCAGCCTGTTTCCATAGCTAATGATATTTTTCTTATTAAACAGATACTACTGAGATAGATGTTTCTGAATGAGGTGCCCAAAATGAATGTATTAGAACTCTGATATTAAAATACTGGTAATTCATAATGGCAGTTTCAGTTTTGTGGTCATGAAGGTTAGGATTTTATTTGTTTTCAAGCTGTTTTTGTTAAGTATTCTCTGGATGAGTTTGAAGTTTTAATTATCTTGGATATTTAATATGCATTTTCTTTTGCTCTTGAAAGAAAATATTAGAATCATAAATCTTTTACTATGAGAAGATATTTTGAACACCTTGTAGACTATTTGTAGTCTATAAATATGATATAGTATGAGAAAGATATTTGCTGAGACATCAGAATATTTAAGAAAAGTTTAAGAATAATAAGATTTTTAACATTAGCTCTAACTGGCCTGGATTCAACTTCCGGCATTGGACCCTTTTACCTCATACAGAGTTGTTGTTCTAACCTTTGCTTACTTTTCTATACATTTTTGATACTCATGTTTGATATGTCTTTCTTTGCTCTTCAATTCTTTCATAAAAGTATAATTCTTAACAATTCCTTTTGACATTCAGTTGTAAATATACTGAAATGTTTGAAACTATATCACCATTTGACTTTATCCACTAACACCCCCAACAATTTCATGGCTTAAAGTAATATTTATGTTTTATTATTAATGTAACTTTTAATAGCTTTATTGAGATATAATTTACATTTGTACCATAAAATTTATCTTTTAAAATTATATAAT